AAATTAAATCCGAAACGCAAATATCCTCTATGAAACTTATAATATTTATATTAAACCTCAACTTAAATAATTTAATAGTTTTATGAACTTTCATGAGTTCATAGTTTTTATCTGAGTTTTTTTTTTTAACTTACATATGAGTTTTGTAAAACTTAAATGAGCATTAGTGATTTATATATGTATATTTATTGATATTAGAAAACTAACATTATCGTCTACAGTTAAACAGTCTACAGCTTGTAACCCTTAACTTATTTTTGGTGATGGAGCATTTCGACATAAATTTAAGTGTATATAAACTGTAATGTAAGTCACACACCATAGAGTTGAGGCTATTTCTGATGAACTGCATGATGGTCCTTAAATATCGAGTCACATTTGCGGTCTTAAAAATGCTACTATTCTTAGTTCTTTCCCTCACTACTCTATAAAGTCCTATAATGAAACTTTTGCATTAAGAATAGAAAAAGAAATTTTATTCTGGGACATAAACAGTAGGCTAACCTAATAATAAGCTAGCAAATTAAAATTATAGTATATTTACAGTAATTCAAATAATAATAAGTAAACAATTAAAAAATTCCCTTAGCCTAATTATAGTTGTTAAAAGAAAATATATATACGTATATATACACACACATATGCATACATGTACATTTATACATTCACTCTAAACTTGTATACACTATATGTCGACACTTAACCAATCCTTGGCTACTTAAACATCATCAAACAATTTTAAAATTGTCATAGCATTTTCGATTTTTCTTGAGGGTACAGGAAGGATTCGGTGCTGTCTAAATTATCTCCACTGTTTACTAAACGAAAACGAAACATACAGAATATTTTTAATACTCAAAGGAAAATGTTCTGTAAAACACCATAGAGTGTTTCCAATGCAAGAACTTGGATTAATTCAAGACATGCGATTAACGTTATTCTATTAACATTATTTTTAACATTAGTTTCAAGGATTGTAATTCAAGTTGTCTTTACAACGCTTTATATTTTCGTTACAGCTGATTTTCTCATTAAATGTACATAATGAACGATCGGTAATATACTTAATAAAATATCAGTCAGCATAAGATTGCGGCATTGCTCTATATTTTTAATGACTTGATATTTAAATTCATCTTAACGTTCCCAGATAGAAGTAATAAAAGGTTTGTGTAAATTCGAATCTAGAATAATAAAAGAGTAGAATTAAAAAACTTTTACGGTGCACGTATTTTATTGGGTTTTCTTTTATTTTTTTTTAATAGTAATTTTCTTTTAAAGTCGTTTTCTTTTTATACCAGTTGTGCTGGTATATCTGGGGTGCTGTTCGTTATAGGCGTCTGGTATTATATTTAATAATAACCTTATCTCAAATTTATATATGCATTTCGCGTTAAATTAGACTATTTAAATTGTATTTCAAGCTATTCATTATTATATTATTGTAATACAGTTATTCCTATAATTAAAAATAACCTATCATGTTCTCATAAAATCCGAATTTCTAACCTTAAAAGGTATCGGTGGTATTGCTTCTAGATTGTAATAACTTTGAGTAAAATATTATAATATTATTATAAATTATATTATACTTTGAAGTAAGTAATTTGTTTTTAAGGTTAATATTGTTTTTAAACCGCTGATCAAATATCTTTACTATTTTATTATTTAAAATAAAATATAATAATTAGAAACAATTGATTAAAATGGAGCATTGCAGATGAAATTCAGAAATACAATTGTAGGTTAATTGATGGCCTTCAGACTTCTTAGAATATGGATTTTTTTTCATTTCCGGATCATTTTTCATTTTTATCTGCCCTTCTCATTATCGTAACTTCTAAACACCAGACTCAGCTCGAGTGTCTTACTTTTTTTTTTATCGGTTTTATTTTTTATATTTTTAACTACATTTTTTTACTTCGAAATTGAAATATTAGATCGACCCTTACTACTCCAAAGATTAAATCTTTTTTAAAACTCGCTGAAAGGTGAATTTTTTACTCGTTTTTACACCTATTGTTCTTGACTAGTTTCTATTGAAAACAATTCAATATTTTTAAGTGGGTACAAACTTGCTTTTTGTCATGTCTGTTGTAGAATGATCATTTTCTTATTTTAAAAATATTTCGTTTTTCCTTCCTGGTTAACGACGTTGCTTTCTTACTTTTGTCTGTCTTTTAACTTTCAGAATTCTAGTAAGTAAACGTTGTTGTGTTATAACTTTTATTAACGAATCATCAAGACAATTATTCATTACAAAACGGAGTATAAAGTTAAACTTATAAACCAAGCCAAGTTGTATGTGTGGTTCAACAAGCAATAATTAAAATAAATAATCTCACTTTTCTAATATTCATAAGACGAGATCGATAAAAACATTGATTCCGTTAACGATTTTAATATTGCTGTACCTAGCATTATTATTCTTGATTGCTTAAATAATTTCTTGAGTAATTCGAGAATTTTGTGACTTTGATACCGCCAGTATGCGAATCTGTTCACAATTGTTTCCTTTGAAGTTAATCGACAATGGTCCCTGTTCATAGAGCCCAACCCTAGTCGCTGTAATTTATTCTTAATGGAATTCATTAGACAACAATGCTCTATTCATTTATATTTCTGTGTAAACAATGCTAACATATAAACACGTTGCGATATAAACCATTTTACATCAAGCTATTAACGAAATGTTTATATTTCTGAAGGATCCAATTTATATATTTTTTAAGAAGTATAAACATTTCTCAGGGTATTGAAGAAAATATTTATATTGCTGAAGGAACCAATTTATTTTTTTTAATATTATTTTTAAGAAATATAAACATTTCTCAAGCTATTAAAGAAAATATTTATATTACTGAAGGAATCAATTTATTTTTTTAATATGATTTTTAAGAAATATAAACATTTCTCAAGCTATTGAAGAAAATATTTATATTACTGAAGGAACCAATTAATTTTTTTTTTATTCCCCCACTAAAAGAGCTATGCGCAGAGTACCATTTCTTGTGCCAGTCTGCCCAAAACCGTCCAAGAGTTAACTTGGTCCGCGATAGTTTCCTCTGATAGTCACAAATGTGTTCCCTGTCCGTTGCTTTAATATCTGTTGTTGTGATTTATTCAAGTAGTGTTTGTTGGAACTTCATCATAAGCCAATTGAGTCGGCATGAATCCATCGTGGAAGCATCTTCCAAAATCTGGAAGGTCATGTACTGCACACCAGCAAGTAGCGACCACAACCGTAGATGGAGAGTGATCACGAAAATCTTGCTGAAGCATTCATTGGTTTCAAAACTTACTGCAATTACCGGCGTTATGGCTCTCAAAAGCAGCTAGGCATTAGTGCAAACCATAATACCTCGTGGATCAGAGGACATAGCAAACCTAACCAATCACCGACCTTAGGCAACTTACCATCAGAATCATAATGCCATCTTACTGGATGAATCAAGTGGAACTTCTTTATTCACATCTGCCTCTGAGCTTCCTTAGGCATATATAATGTATAAAGTCTGGAACATGGAACAAGTCTGGAGCTCTGGATGGTACCTACCTCGTGTGTCGTGGACCTTGATGTCTCTTCTTATAGCAGTAGAGCTGGTTGTACTTTTTTCCCGCAGGTGTGTACATTATTATTAAGTCAGAATATGTAATTGTTTTGTAAATTTTACATTATTAACATGTAAATTATCTGTTACATTGTAGATATTGTTAGGATATTTACTTATTGGGTAGGATGAATTTTTAAACACTAGATGAAATGAAGGCAGAGTTAAGAGTTAATTTTTTTTTCATTGCAATCTTTTATGTATAATATGTTTTGATGAAGTTCATGGTTTCTCACTTTGATATGATATTTGAGATCATATTTTTGAATTTAGTTATAATAATTCTTCTTCTTGGTCCTGCTCTTTAGACCTCAATTTTAGTGATTGTCGTACATTTATGTCAATCGATTGTCTTCTTATTTCTATAAATTCAAGAGGTTCTGTTGCTAGTGACCATATACGTCGAAAGTTTGCTGGTTGACTTTTTTTTTTTTTTTTTTATTTGAACAACTTTATTACGAATACATGTTTGTTAACATTTGATTTTTTTCGTCGACTGAGATCACAAGAATGTGTTCGATAGGTACATCTGTTAGCATTTGGTTAAACGATCTCCTCACCTTTTAGATCATTATCTCTGTTTCCTTTTATTATTTGTTGCCAAAATCCCGAAGACACGATAGGCTAGTTCCTTTATTACTTAAACGTCATCAACTGATTCTTGTTTTTAGATTAATGTTCATAGATTTCGTCCGTTTTTTCGATCTCACTTGTAGTACAGAAAGTTTCTGGATCATCTTAATTATCAAGTCGTCTACTCAACGATAATACTTGCATACAACTTCATCTTCATTCACGTCTTTTTACTTGTTTTTGCCTCATTCGTATGCACACTACATTTTCACTTGTGCATTGTAAATACTGTTGGAATATTGAATTACTGAATATGATGAGTATTTAACACAAGATGATATGAAGCCAGATTTTAAGCAGGAATCGACAATTTTATTAACTTTTTTAAAAATTCTGTGAAACTTATTAGCTTTTAAGAACTTTATTGTGATAAAAGTTCCATAGTAATGGTTTAACTTTTATTTATTTTAGTATCAACGTTTTCCGTTTTTACACATTTCAGCCGAATTTGTTTTCTTAGCATTTTTTTTTTTTAGCGTCTGAGGAGGATGCGTGACCCAGAGCTACTTATGTCTTTTGTTACTTATATTTTGGCATTTGGTTAAAGGATGCCGTCACTTTTTCAATCATTGTCTTTATTTGATGCTGGCTAGAATTTGATGAAGGTTATTAGATTGGCAAGCCTTCTTCATTACTTAATCTCCATCTACCAATCGTTGTATTTAAATTATAGTTCAAAGATTTCGTCGCTTTTTTCAATTTCTCTTGTCGTACAGGAGAGTTCTGGATCTTCCTAATTTTCTTGTTGTTTGTTCGACGATAAAACTTGCGTATATGCGGATCATCTTTCTTTTTTTTCTTCCTCACTTTTGCTTACTTACTTAATCCAGTCCTCTGTTACCGCTGAGCAGTGCGAGGTTCCTTCTTGTAGAGCTTAATTCAATAATCTCTATCCTGGGCCAGCTGCGTTCTCCTACTCCAGTCCATTCCTGTCAAAGGCTGCTTTAACTCCTTCTTCCCATCCTTTTCTTGGTCATCTTCTTCCCACCCATTCTGGCTGCAGTGGGGACACTTTTGCTTGATTTGCAATTGAAAAAAATTCGGGCTTTTAAATTATCTTCATTCTCTACTAAACGAGAACACAACGATATCATCAACTTTTCAATACTTTTATGTTTTTCGTTCCATTATACTTAAATGTCATCTGCCAATTCTTGTTTTTAGATTATAGTTCAAAGATTTCGTCGCTTTTCGATTTATCTTGTAGTTCATGATGGTTCTTCATCGTAATTATCTATTATTATTAAGGTCTTCTTAATAATCTTGTGGTTACTAAATGATAACACTTGCGTATAACTCGTTTTTCTTCCTCATTTGGTCGTACTCAACATTTTTCGATTTCCCTTGCGATACAGGACAGGAAGAATTTTGGGTTTTTGAATTATCTTCATTCTCTACTAAACGAGAACGCAACGATATCATCAACTTTTTAAATAATTTTCTGATTTTCGTTCCATTATACATAAATGTCATCTAAAATTTTTGTTTTTAGATTATAGTTCAAAGATTTCGTCGCTTTTCGATTTATCTTGTAGTTCATGATGGTTCTTCATCGTAATTATCTATTATTATTAAGGTCTTCTTAATAATCTTGTGGTTACTCAATGATAACACTTGCGTATAACTCGTTTTTCTTCCTCATTTGGACGTACTCAACATTTTTCGATTTTCCTTGCGATTTAGGATAGGTAGAATTTTTCTTTTGAATTATCTTCGTTCTCTACTAAACGAGAACACAACGATATCATCAACTTTTCAATACTTTTATGTTTTTCGTTCCATTATACTTAAATGTCATCTGCCAATTCTTGTTTTTAGATTATAGTTCAAAGATTTCGTCGCTTTTCGATTTATCTTGTAGTTCAAGATGGTTCTTCATCGTAATTATCTATTATTATTAAGGTCTTCTTAATAATCTTGTGGTTACTAAATGATAACACTTGCATATAACTCGTTTTTCTTCTTCATTTGGACGTACTCAACATTTTTCGAATTCCCTTGCGATGTAGGACAGGCAGTATTTTTCTTTTGAATTATCTTCATTCTCTACTAAACGAGAACACAACGATATCATCAACTTTTTAAATAATTTTCTGATTTTCGTTCCATTATACATAAATGTCATCTAAAATTTTTGTTTTTAGATTATAGTTCAAAGATTTCGTCGCTTTTCGATTTATCTTGTAGTTCATGATGGTTCTTCATCGTAATTATCTATTATTATTAAGGTCTTCTTAATAATCTTGTGGTTACTCAATGATAACACTTGCGTATAACTCGTTTTTCTTCCTCATTTGGACGTACTCAACATTTTTCGATTTTCCTTGCGATTTAGGATAGGTAGAATTTTTCTTTTGAATTATCTTCGTTCTCTACTAAACGAGAACACAACGATATCATCAACTTTTCAATACTTTTATGTTTTTCGTTCCATTATACTTAAATGTCATCTGCCAATTCTTGTTTTTAGGTTATAGTTCAAAGATTTCGTCGCTTTTCGATTTATCTTGTAGTTCAAGATGGTTCTTCATCGTAATTATCTATTATTATTAAGGTCTTCTTAATAATCTTGTGGTTACTAAATGATAACACTTGCGTATAACTCGTTTTTCTTCCTCTTTTGGACGTACTCAACATTTTTCGATTTCCCTTGCGATGTAGGATAGGCAGAATTTTTCTTTTGAATTATCTTCATTCTCTACTAAACGAGAACACAACGATATCATCAACTTTTCAATACTTTTATGTTTTTCGTTCCATTATACTTAAATGTCATCTGCCAATTCTTGTTTTTAGATTATAGTTCAAAGATTTCGTCGCTTTTCGATTTATCTTGTAGTTCAAGATGGTTCTTCATCGTAATTATCTATTATTATTAAGGTCTTCTTAATAATCTTGTGGTTACTAAATGATAACACTTGCGTATAACTCGTTTTTCTTCCTCTTTTGGACGTACTCAACATTTTTCGATTTCCCTTGCGATGTAGGATAGGCAGAATTTTTCTTTTGAATTATCTTCATTCTCTACTAAACGAGAACACAACGATATTATCAACTTTTCAATAATTTTCTCGTTTTTCTTCCTTATTTTTACCTCATTTAGATTTACACTATAGTTTCAACTTGTACATTGTAAATGGCTAGTTCCTCTACTACTTAGACGTTAAACAATTCTTACGTTATTGTTTAAAGGTGACATTCGCATCAGCTTTTTCGATTTCTCTCGTGATACAGGCAAGGAAGGATTCTAGTTTAAAGGAAGATTATAGTTTAAAGATTTCTTCGCTTTTCGACTTCTCTTGTAGTACATGAAGTTTCTTCATCGTAATTATCTGTCATTATTAAGGTCTTCTTAATTATCTCGTTGCCCTCCAATGCGGCAGAATGTATTAATTTTCAAATAACAAAAATAATAAAATATCTTGTAGTTACCCAATGATAACATTTGCGTGTCACTCGTTTTTCTTCCTCATTTGGATGTACTATACATTTTTCGATTTCCCTTGCTATACGGGACAAGAAAATAATTGGGCTTTTAAAATATCTTTATTCTCTACTAAACGATATCATTAACTTTTCAATAATTTTCTGTATTTTGTTCCATTATTTGGTTCTGAAATCTCGAGGACGTAATTAGTTTATGGCTAGAATTTGATTAAGTTTAGTATATTGGTTTATGGCCTTCAATACTTGAACATCATCTACCAATTCTTGTTTTTAGATCATAGTTTAAAATTTCATTTTTTTTTATTTTAGTATTTTCAAGTACATCCTATATTAGTATTAGGTCTATGACCCGCATTTTTTTAAAATATGTAATTATGTTTATTTTTTCATGAATATTGCCAGGATTTTTATTTTTTTACTTTTACCTTTTTCTCAAGGTATCTTGTATATTTGTCATTGTATTAATTCATCTTCCTGCAGCCCATGCAACAACTCAACTGGTTATTATGTATTTCTTCTGTTGTATATGTTCTTGCGTACCAGTGCGCGTTGATTGCTATCTCAGTATAAAAGTCTGCATGTGCTCTGTGACCCGTAATGCTTTTTGTTGATTTTTTTCGTAACTTCAATACGAGTTTTTGTTACTGAAACGTTTTTTTAATATTAACTCTGTCGTATATTGTATGTTTATTATTCTTGCCTTGATTTCCGGTACAACATTTTTCGTAATCGAATCATGATCGTAGACGACATGTGTGAATTTCAACGTTGTTTTTAGCTTTGTGATAGTAATTGCTAATAATAAGTCTTGTTTGAAGAATGTATTTCTAAATATTAATATTATGCCGTTATAATTTAGAAATGAGACCATCTCTGCTAAATTTTTAAGTTTATCGTTGAACCTTTGTTGCGAAGAATCCAAATGATTCTTCTTCTGTTCAATAAATATTCATTTCAACTAATAAAATACATCAAATTTAATTTCTATTAAAGAATTTTGAAGTGTCTCACCATTAAAAAAAAATCGAGTTTTTGTTACGGAAACGTTTTTTAATATTAACTCTACTGTCGTATATTGTATGTTTATTATTCTTGCTTTGATTTCTGGTACAACATTGTTCGTAATCGAATCATGATCGTTGACGACATATCTGGATTTCAACGTTGTTTTTAGCTTGTTTTCGGTAATTGCTAATAATATGTCTTGTTTAAAAACTGTATTTCTAAATATAAATATATGTACTCGTAAAATATTATGCGGTTGTAATTTAGACATGAGACCATCTCTGCTAAATTTTTAAGTTTATCGTTGAACCTTTGTTGCGAAGAATCCAAATGATTCTTCTTCTCTTCAATAAATATTCATTTCAACTAATAAAATACACCAAATTTAATTTCTATTAAAGAATTTTGGGTGTCTCACCATTAAAAAAAAATCGAGTTTTTGTTACGGAAACGTTTTTTAATATTAACTCTACTGTCGTATATTGTATGTTTATTATTCTTGCTTTGATTTCTGGTACAACATTGTTCGTAATCGAATCATGATCGTTGACGACATATCTGGATTTCAACGTTGTTTTTAGCTTTGTTTCGGTAATTGCTAATAATATGTCTTGTTTAAAAACTGTATTTCTAAATATAAATATATGTACTCGTAAAATATTATGCGGTTGTAATTTAGACATGAGACCATCTCTGCTAAATTTTTAAGTTTATCGTTGAACCTTTGTTGCGAAGAATCCAAATGATTCTTCTTCTGTTCAATAAATATTCATTTCAACTAATAAAATACATCAAATTTAATTTCTATTAAAGAATTTTGAAGTGTCTCACCATTAAAAAAAAAATCGAGTTTTTGTTACGGAAACGTTTTTTAATATTAACTCTACTGTCGTATATTGTATGTTTATTATTCTTGCTTTGATTTCTGGTACAACATTGTTCGTAATCGAATCATGATCGTTGACGACATATCTGGATTTCAACGTTGTTTTTAGCTTGTTTTCGGTAATTGCTAATAATATGTCTTGTTTAAAAACTGTATTTCTAAATATAAATATATGTACTCGTAAAATATTATGCGGTTGTAATTTAGACATGAGACCATCTCTGCTAAATTTTTAAGTTTATCGTTGAACCTTTGTTGCGAAGAATCCAAATGATTCTTCTTCTCTTCAATAAATATTCATTTCAACTAATAAAATACATCAAATTTAATTTCTATTAAAGAATTTTGAAGTGTCTCACCATTAAAAAAAATCGAGTTTTTGTTACGAAATGGTTTTTTAATATTAACTCTACTGTCGTATATTGTATGTTTATTATTCTTGCTTTGATTTCTGGTACAACATTGTTCGTAATCGAATCATGATCGTTGACGACATATCTGGATTTCAACGTTGTTTTTAGCTTTGTTTCGGTAATTGCTAATAATATGTCTTGTTTAAAAACTGTATTTCTAAATATAAATATATGTACTCGTAAAATATTATGCCGTTATAATTTAGAAATGAGACCATCTCTGCTAAATTTTTAAGTTTATCGTTGAACCTTTGTTGCGAAGAATCCAAATGATTCTTCTTCTGTTCAATAAATATTCATTTCAACTAATAAAATACATCAAATTTAATTTCTATTAAAGAATTTTGAAGTGTCTCACCATTAAAAAAAAAATCGAGTTTTTGTTACGGAAACGTT